AATAAATAATATTATACTCATTTTTAATCCAAGGGTAAAAGTGTAAATTACATATTCATCTATTAAATTTTTAATTTTTATCTATCATTAAATTTAAAGCAAATATTTAAATTAAATTATTTTTAAATTAATATTTTATATTTATTTTTTTAGTTAAAATTTATATATTTATATTTTAATTATAATAATTATAAAAAAAAATTCAACCTAAGGGCAAAATAGTAATCTTACACAATTATTAATTAAAAAATTTATTTTTATCTATCACATCAATCAATTCACTCACAAACTTTCACAAACTTTCTCTACACTTTCCACTCACTTTCCCTTAATCCAAACAACCTCACTTTCCACTTACTTTCCCTTCAAATCTTTCATTTTCCACTCCCCCTTTTCCATCTTCAAATCCAAACAAAGCCTAAAAGAACTTTCAAATTGTGTAATTTTCTTGCTGTTTTGTTTAATTCTTAATTTTTTTTATTAAAAACAAAATAATTTAATTTAATTATAGAAAAAGAAACACTATGATATGTAGATAGGCACGAAATAATATATATGTAAGAAAAGCGACTACGCGCATTTTGTAAAACATGTAATGATAAGTACTTATAGTATGATATAATGTATATTATACATGTGTTTTCTAGCTACATATATATACATATAATACTGAGGTTAATATTAATACGATTAGGCGTTATATTTTATATGCATCTACGTGGCATCCACGTGGCCAACAGTTAACTCCATTTAAATAATTTGGACGGAAGTCCCAAATTGAAACCAAAAATAAAAGTGGGACTAAATTGAAACAAACCATTATTATAAGAGACCAAAATAAGTTTTTAGCCTATAAAATACTAATATGATTGTATCACTCTTTTTACATCGGCTGTGTATGTAAAAGAAGAATGTACGACATTTTTACAATTTTAACTTTTTACATAACAAAAAATAATTGATATAAAAATATCAATTCATGTTTTTATAATATTTCTAGATTTTCTAAGTAGGATTCTAAAATTAATCTCAATATTTTGTTCTTAAACATTGAGATCATAATTTCGAGAATTATATGTACAAGATATATATATATATATATATATATATATCTTGTACATATAATTCTCGAAATTATGATCTCAATGTTTAAGAACAAAATATTGAGATTAATTTTAGAATCCTACTTAGAAAATCTAGAAATATTATAAAAACATGAATTGATATTTTTATATCAATTATTTTTTGTTATGTAAAAAGTTAAAATTGTAAAAATGTCGTACATTCTTCTAGATCATAATATCGAGAAATATATGTACAAGATATATATATATATATATATATATATATATCTTGTATATATATACAATCTATATCATAATATACAAGTACTAAAAACATAATCCTATCATCGATCAAATTTCTATACATAACCATACTACTTTAAAGTAGTGGACTTAAAACCATATCATTTTCAGCATGACCCTCCACTAATGGAAGCCATCCATCATAATTTTACCATACTCACATATCAAGTATGATTATTGCAATCTAATCACAAGGAAAAGAAATAGTAAGTTTGTGAAAGAATTAATAAAGCAACAACAACATAAATTTACAACTTATACAACATAAACAACTTAAATGACCTCAAGCTAATTCATAACACTATGTCAGCTCATCATCATTATTTACAACTTTCACTCCTCAAATACAACTTATAACATAGACAACATTATCAACATAAACAACTTTAATCACAATATAAATAACTTTAAACAACTAATATGTCGTCACATATATCAACTTATGAAAATTTTCTACAACAAAAGCGAATAGTTTAAGTGGCTTGACCCATGTATAACTCAACCTTGTTAGATCAACATTTGGTCATTTTATAATCAATATGGTTTAACCCAATCCCCATACTATTTTCACATAAAACTAAGAAGAGACAACTTAAAATCAACTGCCTATTCAAGAGTCAACTTACTTCACAAAATGAGATATTTTAATTTGTAAACCAACTTAACTTTCCTTTAGTTTTTATATATCTCAACTAGGACATATATCTCATCACCACATGCCTATACAATTTTACAACTTAAAACTTAATAAACTTCAAGCAATTATCAACTTACAACTTAACAAATTAAACAATTCTCATTCATAAGCAACTTTAAACATCTATACATCATCATAGATTAATGCATAATGAACTATAATCATGCAACAACATAAATCATATGAGTAATAAACATACTACATTTCTTCTCAACACTTAATCAAATATCAACTAGTTTTTCATTTAGCACAATCATGCTTAATGCAATTCTCCCCGCACTCGACATCATTGAGGGGGAGAGTCTTAGGCTTGCCCAAGCTCAACGTCAACCCACTTGCGCTTGACGTGGATGAGGCATAAGGCCTCTGAGTCAATCATGCTGGCATAAATAAACCTATGTTTGACCTCATTTAAGTAGAGAGTCTCTATATGACTCATGTCCGACACCGCTAAACTTGCGTCTGACATCGTTTGGGTAGAGAGTCATTGACTTGATAACATTTGGTGCCTCACAACTTGCATTCAGAATCACCAAGTCAAAAAGCTCCTCGAGCAATTACGCCCGACATGACTGAGTCAGAGAGCTCCTCACTAATCCATGCCCAACGCTATCAATCATGCACCCACTGTGATCAGGGTAGAGAACTTCTAACTTGAACCACGTCTGACACTATGAAGGCATGCCTGACGTATTGAGGATTTTCGCATTTGGAAAAATCCTCAAATTGGCTCAAACCTGCAATTCACTTTGCCAAACCAACATGTCGTGCAATATCCAACACATATACAAATTATATGATCCATTTCCAACATAAAATACAACATGCATTCATCTCAATTCAAGAATCATCAAACTCTACTCAAACACCTTTAAGGAACCAAAAACTCAACAACTCATCATTTCATGAATTCATAGAATTTCAACTACACCATGATGACAACAAACAACAATTATACATCAATATATTTTCAATCAACAAACTTCCCTTATCTCAACTTGCCCAAAAGTGAGAAGAGACAAGGAAGGAGGAAGAAGAACATGAAAACTCCATACAACTCTTGACTTGAGATTCTCAACTTCTGAAACTCAAATCTCCAATCTAGCAACTCAACTCAGCTATGGTGGAAGGGTTTGATGTTCAATAGAATCAAAAGGAAAAAAATGAAGAAGAAAAGTTATTCTCGGGCTTCAGAGTTCTCCTAAAAATTTCTTAAAATATGAATTTATGAAATTCACATATTAAAAAAACTCTTATATACTCTTTCTTAAGTTACACCAACTAAATCCTAACTAAAGTTATCTTAGCAGCAACTCAACCCTCAAGGATCCCTTGATCCTTAGGGTTTTAAAACAACGTCAATTACAATAGAGATATTTTAAATATAAAATTTGTAATTTAGAATTCAGAATTTAAAATTTAAAATTTAAAATTCAAAATTTAAATTTTACAATTTAAAATTTAAAATTTAAAATTTAAAATCAAGCATATATTAAATTTGAATTCTTAATAAAATATGGTTATATATTTAAATTTATAAATCTATTAAGATAGTAAAATAAAATAGAGATATTTTAAATAGAAATTCTAAAATTTACAATTTAAAATCTAAAGTTTAAAATTTAAAATTTTAAATTTTAAATTTAAAGTTGAAAGTTTAAAATATAAAATTTAAAATCTGAAATTTAAAATCTAAACTTAAAATATTTATAAATTATTTTTATTATGAAACTTTATTATCATCTATTTTTCATTATATTACTTATATTTACTAGGAGGATGACTTTGAAAAATTATGGAATATTTGGAAGGACAATGATTCACTCTCAACAATTTCTCTCATTGACAACAAGGTTCAATTTAATTCATGGTTAGACTTCATATTTTGTTATTGCTTATCTATTTAAATTGTATTTTCTTTGTGACAGGTTCATCGTTTAAAAGTATATTCTATTGGGTGGAGTTCTACAGTAATAGTAGATAAAACCCAACTTTGGAAAATGGTGAAAAAAGAATTGTTGTCTCAAAAATTAGAAAGGTAATATAATAATATGGTTCTAAAAATAGTTTATATGTGATAATTTCATATATATAAAAATATAGTTGTATTACTACCTAATTTAAATAAATTCTAACTCATATTTTTTTCAATAATAGGACACTTGAAAATGCAAGATCGAGTAATATCTGTCATATTAATAACTTTCATGCAAAACAAGATATCTCCATTTTTGAGGTTGTGGTAATTTTTTTCGTAACCTATAAAAATTTACATCAAATATTAAATCTCTCATATTGATACTTGACATTATATTATTTGTTTATGCAGTTTTTTAAAGTTAAAGAAATTATGGATGATGTATTTTATAAGGAATTAAAATTTATTCTCGAAAGGTATGACATTATGTAATTTAATTATTATTTATTTAAAATGTTGTTTATTATTTATTGACATTTAATTTCGTTAATTTCGTTCATAATTTGCAGGGAAGCTATAAATCGTCCTGAAGCGAATTCATTATTTGATCTTCCTATTAAAAATAATTTATGATGGAAAAATTGCATTTGATTATTATATATATTATTTTATTCCATTATTGCAAATATAACTATGTAGAACATAAATTTTTATTTTATATGAACTGACCTTCTATCATGTTTTGATTATTATGCACTTAATCAATGAACAAAGATTGAATTTATCATATTATATTATGTAAAATTATTTATACAATTATATGTCAACAATGAATTCATTCAATCGGTGCGTTATTTTAAAGTTAGAGATAAAATTCAGATAGAGGCTCGGCCCCGCTAGTAAATATAAAAGAAATTGGATAAGTGAATTGCCTTTGCTCCTAACTTTCATGAATGAAGTAAGGCTTGAAATATTGGTGATTTCTTTGAGTTTTGATGCTTTCATGATAACCGTTTTGTGGGTTAGGTTGCATGAGGATTTTATTTCAGTTTCTAAGTCTTTTGTGCAGAATATGTGAATTTTTTTGGTTTAGGATTTTAGGGCTTCAGAAGTGTCTTGATTAATGGTAAGAGACTCTTCCGGTTGTGCATCAGCAACATCTTCTACAGGAGATTCTTCTGAAACAACTTTGTCATCATCTTCCCATTCTAGCTCGCAAATAGTAGTTGACTCATGGTTGTTCCATTCCCATGCTTCATTTTCTGCAAAAACCACATCTCTGCTTATTATAATCCTTTGTGAGATAGGATCGTAAAGCCTGTATGCCTTTGATTCGTCACTGATTCCGAGTAAAACACACTTCAAGCTTTTCGCATCTAGTTTAGATCTCAAATTATCAGGTACGTGAGCATAAGAGACACAACCAAAGACTCTGAAATGCTGGACTGATGGCTTGATTCCGCTCCAGGCTTCTTCGGGTGTTTTTTCCTTCACCGCTAGTGTTGGACAGTGATTTAACACGTGCACAGCCCAATTTACCGCTTCTGGCCAGAAGGTTTTAGGCACTTTCTTTTCAGATAGCATGCTGCGAACCAAATTCATGATTGTTCGATTCTTCCGTTCTGCAACACCATTTTGTTGCGGTGAATATGCAGCTGTCAATTGTCGTTGCACTCCATGCGCATGGAAAAAGTTATTGAATTCTCGAGATGTGAACTCTCCACCAAGATCTGTGCGCAACCCTTTGAGTGACATATTTGTTGCTTTCTCAACATGTAACTTGAAGCTTTTGAAAACAGTAAAAGCCTCTGATTTTTCTGCCAAAAAATAAACCCAAGTTTTTCGGCTAAAATCATCAATAAAAGTAAGCAAATACCTTTTCTTGCTATTTGAGATTGGCTTAATTGGTCCGCAAATGTCGGCATGAACAAGTTGAAGAATCTGTGAAGCTCTCCAAGAACTTTTCATGGGAAATGAATCTCGATGTTGTTTCCCAATCAGATAATCTTTGCACAGCTTAGAGGGCGGCTTAAGCATTGCTAAACCTTCCACCATTCCTTTTTGTTGCAGAGTCTGTAAGCCTTTAAAACTTAAGTGGCCAAACCTGCAATGCCACAACTGTGCTACATCTTCCGTAACTGTGTTAAAACAAGTAGGTGCTACAGGCAAGGAGATGGCATGCAAGATAAACATCCGATTCGATGACATATTAGATTGCATAATCAAACCTTTGTCTGGATGATATATTTTGCATTTTCCTTGCTGAAATAAAATGCTCAACCCCTTCTCTTGCAATTGTCCCAGACCCAACAAATTGTTCTTCAATTCCGGAACATAAAAACCTCCCGAGATAATGCTAATAACTCCATTTACATCAAGTCTGATGTTGCCTTTCCCATTAACCATTGGAATTATTGCCCAGTTTCACTGAATCTGAGAAGGTCTCATCAAGCTTAGAAAAATATTCCTTTTTGCCGCACATGTGATTACTGCACCTAGAGTCAAGAAACCAGACATCTGTCTTTTGTTGCTCCTTTGTTTCAACATAAGCCATCAACAACATGTGTTCTTCGGCACTCTCTACCTGACTTTCTGCAAAATTTGTCACCCCTTGTTTACATTCCCACTGAAAGTGCCCGAGCTTGTGACAATTATAGCATTCCACGGTTGCTTTATCAATATTTTGCCTGCTTCTTCCACGACCTCTACCTCCAGAATTCCAACGCCCTCTTCCTCGTCCAGCAGGACCATCATATTGGTTGCTCTAAGTCACCTTCAGAGCATGTTCTTCATGGACAGTATTACCCATGCGTTGTTCATGCACAAGCAAACTACTTTGTAGCTCATCAATCGACAATATACTTGTATCCTTGGATTCTTCAATGGAACACACAACATAATTGAACTCCGATGTCATGGACCTTAGAATCTTTTCTACCACTGCAACTTCTTTCAAATCGTCACAATTGGCTTTCATCTTGTTACTAATGACAAGAACACGAGCAAGGTACTCATTCACTGATTCTCCTTCCTTCATGTGAGCAGTTTCAAAATCTTTTCGCAAAGCTTGGAGATGAGCACGTTTTACACGGGTTGTTCCTTCATATTTCTTCTTCATGGAGTCCCAAATACTCTTGGATGTATCTTTGTTGATTATAGTTTCCAAAATTGAACGATCTAAAGCCTGAAACAAATAGTTCTTAGCATTAAGATCCTTCAATTTCTGCTTTTCATAAGTTTTCTTTTGTGCCTCAAATAGAGTGACACCTTCTGCTGCTGCAGAAACTCCATTTTCCACCACAACCCAATACTCCTTTGATCGTAGAAAATTCTCCATAAGCATCGCCCAATGACTGTAGTGACCATCAAATCTTGGCACTGCTGGTTGAACAAAAGTACCTTCTGTAGCCATTGTCGTTGCTTAAATCCGAGAAGACTGCTGCTTCTACAGAGCCCCTTGCGAGGCTCTGATACCAAATGATAAATCTAACTGTAAAGTGATTGTGAGAGAGAGAGATTTGAAAGGAAATGTTCTATTATTAAATGGAAAGCATCTTTTAATTTTATACTTTTAACTTTCAATTTGTTACTTTTTTTTTCTTTCTCACAAACTTTTTTTTTTCTTTTAATTTTCACATACTACCAAAATAGGTGAGGTGAAAGAAAGGTAAGAGAGTGCATGTAAAAATTGAAAAAAGAGAGAAAATATGTGAAAAAAAAGTATTAAATTAAATGTTGTGGATATAAAATTAAAAAATACAAAAATACAAAATACAAAATAATTTTTTTAAAAAAAATTTAATTATTTTTTAAAAAGGAAGTGTACTTATAAAAAAAAGGAGGTGTATATATCATGAACCATGAAGTAATTTTCAGTTTGAGTTGGCCCAATTAAAATGGGTTATCCAAACAGCCCATGAAAGTTGATTCACTATGACATTTCTATCCTCGTGCTTAAATAGAATGACCATAGCAACAGTAAGAAAATGTTTGTAGAGGTCGAGGGCATTTTGGGGACTTTGAAACATTGCAGCAGATAAAAGAAGACTTTGAAGACAGAGTTTTTACATTTGACATCTTTCACACTTCACAGCATTGGCAGAGAAATACAACAGTTGCAGAGTGAAACGATGCCGTGCCTCAACCTCTCCACCAACGTTAACCTCGACGGCGTCGACACCTCCTCCATTCTCTCCGAAGCCACCTCAACGGTCGCCCAAATCATCGGCAAACCCGAGGCCGTACGTTAACGTTAACTGACGCTTTCGTGTTGTCTTTTTACACGTTTTTGAAATTTCTGTTTCTGGATTTTCACGCTTTGATTCTCTTTGCCCACTGCGATGTTTTTATTAAATTTGATTTTTTTTATGTAGTTATGTGCACTTGTTGAATATGTGGATGGAAATTAGTTAAGTGATTAGTTCGGGGGACTCTCCCCATTTTCTTTTGTAGTTTCTCGTGTCTAGGGTTCTTGGTGTTATTGTATTTGATTCTTCACTTATGTGGGTATAGTTGTGATAAAAAAATTGTTTTGAGACTTGGGTCGGAATGTGTGTTTGAGACTTCAACTTAACTTTTACTTTCACTTTCACAGTTTTTGTATTATTTAGTATGCCATGTTAATTTTCTGGGTGCCCAAGAATGAGGTGGAAATGGAAATGATTTTCTATATTATATGTTGATTCCCATATATATGTTATGCATTTTTCTCTGTTTTGACCTTGTGATAGCTTCGTGTAGTTTCTTTTGAATTGAATTGAATTGGTGGTTGTAATGTTGTATGTATGCATGCATGTAAAGAGCATGTGAATACAAGTTTAAAAGGGTTTTTATAGTTTTTTTTTAATAAAAATAGAGTTTTTTCGGTAGAGAAGTTTCTTTGATTTCAACTGAATTTCTAACTTTATATTCGAAGAGACTCAAAGTAGTAAATGTTTCGCGCATATTTAAAAATGGATAATAAAATATTGTGTAGTTTGTTTCTATACATGTGGCATATGTTTATTGCGTTTGATTCTGATGGGGCTGTAGTTTATAATTTGTCAAGTTAAGCTTCTCAATTCCGTGTTTAACTTTAACATGATTCGGTAACATCCAGGAAATACTCTTTTGGTTGAACTTTGTGTTAGCAATATAAGTTGTTATGTTTTGTGATTTCAATACTCTCGTTTAAAACCTCAAGCTTGTTGAGTGAATTTGTTGGAGGCTATTTGAGAGATTCTGCTACCATGGATGGAGTGGTTGTCAATAGATGCATAACATGAACTTTTTGTGGTTCAATTTAATATATTAAAATTAAGTTTAACATATCTGTTTTCTCCCACTCTATTCCTTTTGCTTTCTTTCGAGGTTTTCTACTTTTTATTTATATGGATTGTCCTTAAGCTTTTTGATTGTTTTCTTGTTGATTTTGCAGTATGTGATGATTGTATTGAAAGGATCAGTGCCTATATCTTTTGGTGGGAACGAGCAGCCTGCAGCTTATGGCGAATTGGTGTCCATCGGTGGTCTTAACCCTGATGTGAACAAGAAACTTAGTGCTGCCATTGCTTCAATTCTTGAAACCAAGTTGTCTGTGCAGAAGTCACGATTCTTCTTGAAATTTTATGACACTAAGGCAAGTATATAGACTTCAGAGTTCTCAAAAGAAGGGCCATTACCTTGCATCCTCTTATTCCATTTTTCCTTTTTGTTTAGGCCAATCAGAGTCAAGAATATGCACAATGTTTGCATGCTTTACACCAGCACTAGGTCATGTAAATGAATCCTCACTGTTCAAGACTATATAGTAGCCGCTATAAGCTGTACTTAATAATCCAACCAAATTTCTATTTGATGCTAACTACCAAAACTTTTCTATGCTCAATAAATAATTGGTCACATATTCTTTGCTGATACTGAATGTTGATAGTGCTTTCTTTGTTCTGCAGGGTTCTAACTTTGGATGGAATGGAACTACATTCTGAACTCCATGTTACTTTGGTAATGATGCCATGGATGTCAGATGAACTCGTTATTCTGCTTTATAACTTTTCTCTCTTTTGTTAATGTCCTTACATAAGTACTCTGAATTTCATATAACCCCCTTTGAGGACATTGTGCCATCGTAATTTGATTATGTTCAAGGACAACTGAGGATCGTATATGTTTATGATTCTCGACAAAAATTATCTGGTGATCTTGAAATGAGCTTCTTTTTAGTGGTCAATTATGCATTGTTAAGCTTGAGACCTTGGTGATACACTGATACGTGACAAATCCTTTAGTTAATTGTACGGTAAGTCTGTTTGAATAAATTTTTCAAAAGTACTTCTAGGAGAGAAAAATAGGAAGATTTTTTTTTTCTTCATAAGTTAAAATTAGCTTATGCATAAGTTAATTTGTAGAAGTTCTCATCTATTAGTTTCTTCAAAATCTTATTTTAAATTATGCATAAGTTAATTTTAGCTTATGAAAAAGTTTATTTTGATTTTTTTTTTCCTCTTAGAAGTGTCTCTGGGGAGACTTTCCTATACAATTCTGAAATCTTGTAGTCTTTGGAATAGATCAATGGCTGCTTTAAATCTTCTAACTAATTGACAAAAAATTATATTAATTAGGTTAATGAAACTGGTCTTTTTGGACTTTAAATAGCACAATTAGGTTAACATCTCCTTAAATCTAAGGAAATTACATTGTTTCAATTGTTGATAGTAAAAATAATTTGAGAATTTTGGTATTAGCAGAGGGGATTATGAGTTAACTGGCAACAAAATATAGTTTAAACCAAACACCTAATCGTGGTTTGATCATTTATACCAAAATGAAGTGAATAAGTTTCCAAAATCATTTGGGAAATTTGACAATGGATGATCGTCCAAAATTTGGAAATTTACAGCTATCCTTATTGATTATAGTATGTGTATGAAAAGAGGATGAATCAGAGGTTTTCTCAATGAAGATAAAATAAGCTCCTAGGAAATTCAATTACTCCTAGGAAGGATGTATTGGTCTTGGATATGTACCCCATATGAACCTTGCAACCTCCTCAAACGTATGTGTGCTCCTTCGGTTGCTAGAGTCTCTATGAGTGCCTTTGAGATGGTCACTCGGGCAGCTCCACAGAGTTCACATGGACAACCTTTATAGTTATGGATGGGTGCAAACATAACTTTCCACATATTAGTTAATGTAAAATAGACCATATAACATCTAAAGTGATGGTCACCTCGCCAATTGGATGGTGATTGGTGATGGAGTTTAAACTAAGGAGTTGTTTTTAGGGAAAAATGCTAAAAGAAGGCCCAACAAAATATTAAATATTAATTTAAGTTAAAGAGATTATTAAGCTTTTAATGGTTTTTAATAATCAATAAATATTATAATCAATGTGGATCATCTTTATTAACATTGGAACAATACCTTATGGAGCTTGTATGGTAGAAGGTGCAATTAACCTTTGTATTATATAGAACCTGGGGGGATTTTATTTTAGGGATAAAGTGATTCAACAAATCACAAAAAAAAGTGAGGTTAATTTAAGAGAGAATGAGAACTGTAGAAGGGCTATCATGATAAGAGGAGGAAAGAATTTGAGTTTAAAGGAAGATCAAATATTATGTTAAGTAACTCTAAAGGAAGATCAAATATTATGTAAAATAACTCATTAGACTGATGTTGAAAAATTAAAATATTAATCTATAATTGAAATCCAATAAAAAGTTAATTGGTTATTGTAATTATTATCCATAATTGTTAATGATTTAATGTAGTAAGCACATGATATCTCTAATTTTTTTTATCTTAAAATGATCATTAAATACTAAGAATAATGACTTTAGATTTTAAAGAGATTAAAATCAATGATGAAAAATATTTTTAAAGATCAAAATATAAATCTATTCATTTCATAACAACTAATTTAAAATAATGAAAAATAAAGAAAAAACTAAAATCAAAATTCATTAACTTTACGAACATTAAAAAATATCCAAGGCTTATTTATTTTATTTATAGAAGATTAATTATTATTAATTAAAGTAACCTCCAACTCTAAACTTGTAAAGTGTTTTTAGTTTATCTATTTCTACACGAATGAAAAACAGTTTATCCATTGCCCATACGATATGGAATACTTGCCTGTTCAATTATTGTACAACTAAACACAGGATTTAAAATTAGAAAAGAAAAAAAAAGTTTTGTGGCCACTAGTTAATTAAGGCAAGAAAAAATGGTCCAGTTAAGGAGGACCTGACAACATAACCGGTCCAGTTAATACATGCATAATGAACATGAACATGAGAGAGTGTATTGAGATAAATCATTAAAAAAAATATTATCCAACATTTATCCACGTATGAAAGTGTAATAATACCAACTTTCACCATATAGACGAGTTTTGAAACATAGTAACCTTATCTTTGATGAGCGATTTCATGGAAGAAAAGGATAATAAGGTAGTGTGTGAGATTATAAGCATAAGCAGAAGGTAGAGAGAAGTGAAGATACCCTGTCTCACCGTTTCAACTAACGTCAGCCTTGATGGCGTAGACACCTCTTCCGTACTCTCCCAACTCATCTCCGCCGTCGCCAAGATCATGGCCAGACCTCACTCTGTATCACTACTTTCCCCTCTCTTTTTCTTCTTAATGCTTCCATATAAGCATCTACATGCCTGAAGGATTCACAATTTATTCTAACTCATAAATTACTTCAATTCAATTACTAATCCCATCTATCACTCAATGAATGAATTAATGGAACGAAATATTTCATAATTTTTAAATATTTTATAAATTTGTGAAATTGATTTATGTAGTTTAAATTTAATATAAAATGTAAATTATTGAATAAATAAGTGATCCCTCTTTACCATCTTCATTTTAATTAATTTTCCACCATAGATTGAGTGTAGCAAATTAATTCATGAAATTTTCACCCTTTTATTGCACTAAGAGTTGCAGCGGAGCGACGCTTCTCACGGCAAAATCACAATCGGTGGAGGCAAGTTGCGTCGCACAACTCATGTCTGTTTTTGTGCCTTAGTTAGTGAGTGACTATGCAGAACCCTAATCCCAATACAGCGTTTGGGCTTTTTTTGTTTGTCTTTTTCTTAACTTTTAAGAACCTTTTCTTTATTTTAATATCTTTATATAAAATATATCAACTGTATATATTGATCATGAATAATCGATTTACGATTTGAATCTTGATTCAATTACCATACGTACAAGTGCTATCTGTTCATTATAGTGTAAAATTAGAATTTATCTCTTAAGTGGTAATATGTTTAAGGGGAAATCATTACCCTTTATAATGGCTTGACAGTGGCCGGTCTGTTCTTGATATTCTGTAATAAGCTTTTAGAAACAAACTCTTTGGCACTTTAGCCAAAAGAGAAGAGAAGAGACAACATGGTCAAATGTTCATTTTTCATTTATTATAAAGAGCAATTCTCCATCAACATTTTTCATATGTTACTCTTTTTTTTTAGCCTCTTAACTGCTGAGTTACAGTATGTGATGGCTGCACTGGAAGGGTCAATCCCCACATGTTTTGGTGGGACTGAGGAGCCAGCTGCCTTTGGTGAACTGGTGTCCATGGGTGCTCTCAACCCGGAATTAAACAACAAACTCACTGCTGAAATTGCTTCCATTCTTGAAACCAACTTGTCAGTGCCCAAGTCACGCTTCTTCTTAAAATTCTATGACATTCAGGCAACTTCTCTATATTCTTTTCATTTTAATGAAATTACCTTTGTTACCTTTTTCTCTTTTTCAGATGTTACTCAACACTTCTCTTTTATTTCGTTTCCTTGTAGGGCTATAATTGCGGATTGAACGGCTCTATCATGGTGATCCAGCCCAAATAATAAAGGAAAACAAAACCTCTTCTTGTTACTTTAATATTGTCATTGTTCATATCTACGAATAATATAATTTGTTATATTTGTGTGCTATAAGAAGCGTTTGGGCATGCATGGGTTGGTTGAACATGACACAAAGAAGTGCTTCTTTAAATAGAGAAATCAGAATCGTCCACCAATTTGACACAAATGAGTATTTTATAGTAACGATTCTATAATAGAAATTTGGAAAAGGGAAGGGAAGCCAAATTAGAATAGGCAAAAAGAAGCAAGTCTATATTATTCTATTATTTCTTTGACGAAAATCAGAAACCCGTCAAAAGTCAAAACCTTTTCGTTTCTCTGACTTTTTTTTTTGAAAACATGGCATCTCCCACCGTCACCCAGACCCCACCGGTTCTCCCGGTCTCAAACCCGCAATTCCAAACCACAACAACAACAACAACCAAATCCGAAGCAAAACCCGAACCCGAACCAGCGTTCCGCGCGGTCCTAAGCTACGTGACGGGGTCCCTCCGGCAGAGCCTCTCGCAGCGGCGGCCGTGGGCGGAGCTGGGGGACCGCAGCGCGCTCTCGAAGCCGCTGTCGTTCTCGGAGGCGAGCCTCCGCATGCGGCACAACGTGTCGTACTTCCGCGTGAACTACTACGTGGTGGTTTCGGTGATCCTGGCCGTGTCGCTCCTGACGAGTCCCACATCGCTCTTCCTCCTAGCGGCGCTGCTGGCCTCCTGGCTATTTCTATACCTGCTCCGCCCCGCCGACCAGCCGCTCCGCCTCTTCGGCCGCACCTTCTCCGACTTCGAGACGCTCTCGCTCCTCGGCGCCGCCACCTTCGTGCTGCTCTTCCTCACCTCGCTCGGCTCCCTCCTCGTCACCGCCTTCACGCTCTCCGTGGCGCTCGTCGCCGCGCACGCCGCCTTCAGGGTCCCCGAGGATCTCTTCCTCGACGAGCGCCAGGGGGAGCAGTCCGCCGGCTTCTTCTCCATCCTCCGCGCCGCCGTCGCCGCGCCCCCCGCCGCGTCGCCCGTCCCCGGCCGCGGCTGATCCCACTGTACACCACATGACGTCGTGACTTCGGTCTCTCCTCTGCGTCCATCCACGGTTCATCCACAGTCGCTGATTCCTTCATGCATTGCTTTAACTTGAATCAATATTAGGAACTTTTTACGCATTTTTATTTTATTTTATGGTTTTTACGTTTTTCATGTCCACACTAAACTTTATAATTATTTTTAGTTTTATAATTAAAAATATTCCATCTTTTTAAATATTTATATGTATATATATTTTCTCTGTCATTTGTTACTATAAAGAATAAAATGTAAAATTTATAAAGTTAGGGACCGGAGTAAACAAAAACAACTATGTATAGAAATTATAATAAGATATTAGCTAAAAATTTATTTTGATTCCTTATAATAATTATTTGTTTCAATTTAGTCTCATTTTTATTTTTGGTTTCAATTTGGTCTTTAATAAATTAATTGGTTGCAATGTTAGACTTCCGTCTAAAATATTTAAACGGAGTTAACTGTTGGCTACGTGGATGACACGTAGATGCATAGGTGAATGTCACGTAGATGCCAAATCTCTTGAAAATACCTGGAATCAGAATGACCCATTCTGAAACCAGAACGAGCCGTTCTGGTTTCAGAACGGGCCGTTCTGGATTCGAAACGGCCCGTTCCATAACGCCAACTTGTGAAAACAATAGAATATTCTATATTAATTTTATTAAAAAATATAATAATTTTGGAAAATATTTTTTTATGGTAAAAATTTTAAAATTACTTATTTTTATAAAATACAATTGTCTTATAAATAGAGTGATAACCTTTCCTTTTTCTCTTTCTGTCTGAAAAAATATTTAAGTGTCACTTTATAATTTTTTGTAACTTATTTAAAATTAGATGAATAAAATGATAAAAATTAATAGGATAAACATAATAAAATTATTAATTTATTTTCTTTTAGTGTCCTCTAAATTTTTACATTCATTTAAAACAAAAATATTTTATATGTTAATTTGAATTAATTTAATGAAAAAAATTTTAGTGGGGGCAAGTGCCCCCACTATGATTAACTTAGATCCTTCCCTGCATGTGGTTGTGTGATGAAATGTTAGTACTGTGTATCCTCTTCCTTTACTTCAGGTTCTACCTCTTCAAGAACAGGTTGTTGTTGTTGGGGTACATCGTTAATGACTTCAAGGAAAAATACCATGTCATTTCATCCTTTACTCTATAGTATCAATTTGGTAGTAAGTGGTTTACTCCAGTTTAACTAACAATGAAATAAAATCTGCTACCATTGTCTTTAGTGATACACTGCATTATCCTTAATGATACACTGTATAGCCCAACTGTTTAGTATTTGAAGTTATCAATTTTCATTGACAATATTACCAAATTCAGTGTTTGAAATGTTTTGTACCTTAGGTCTTTTTCCTTCTACAATTCACAACCGTGAACTATAATCATTGACCGTTTTTGTTTAGCAGTTTGGAACCAGAACAGCCCGTTCTGAAACCAGAACGGCCCGTTCTAGTTGCACTTTTAGTGTGTTAATTTTGCACCTGGAACGGGCCGTTCCGGATGCAAAATTAACACACCAAAAGTGTACCTAGAACGGCCCGATCTGGTTTCAGAACGGGCCGTTATGGTTCCAGGTGTTTTCCAAAAATTTGGCATCCACGTGGCATCCACCTATGAATCTACGTGGCATCCACGTGACCAACAGTTAACTCCGTTTAAATAATTTAGACGGAAGTCTGACATTGCAACCAATTAATTTATTAGGGACCAAATTGAGACCAAAAATAAAAATGGGACTAAATTGAAACAAACAATTATTATAAGGGACTAAAATACTATTTTAGCCTAAGATATTTTTAATTATAAAAATTAATAGGTAAAGAAATGTAATTGCTATTTTTTTTTTCTTCATATGTTACTTTGGCAGTTTTATTAAAGATACAATTAGAATTAAAATCTTATTTTAATAATATGTATTTACATTTAATACAAATTTTATTAATATATATTATAAGATAAAAATTCTAATTTTGATTGAATAATAATAATATTAATCTCATTAAAAAAAAGTATTCTTAAATTTTATCTATTACTATTCTACAATAATTTATCTACTAGTATGTAATTTTATCTATGAAGGAATGTCTTTGTTTTATTATTCTCTCGCAAAAATATTAAAATATGTTAGTCTACAATATAAACGACTATGATATAACTATTTAAGGTCCGAATCAAGAACAAAATGATGAATAAAATGGTACGACGGGCTAGTTCAGTAATAACATATTGTCTCATGATATTGGTTTGATAATTATAATTATTTTTTAAATTAAAAACATTTTTATCATTTACAATTATATTGTATGTAATTTATAATATTTTTTATTTTTATTGTGTAGTATATTTTTGCAAGAATGTTAATAATTTCATTTTTAAGACATTTGTTTTGGCTTATCTTTATCTATTTCTATTTTCATGTTTGTTAGGAGCACTACAATAAATGAGCTAAACAGTGGAGGTTATTTTTACGTTTAGTGGAGGTTTTTACCCTCCGCAAAATAAATCGAAGAGGTTTATAAAAATTTCCGCGGTTACATTCGCCGCAAGTAATTAGCGGCATTTTTTAGAAACCTCTGGTATTGTGAGTGTTTAGCGAAGGTTTTTTTAAAGGCAATTTTAAACCTACACTAATAGTAGAGGGTTTTTAAAGGAGGTTTTAAAGTCATGCTAACTGCAGAGGTTTTTTAAAGGAGGTTCTATGCTAACTGCAGAGGTTTTTTAAAGGAGGTTTTAAAACTATGCTAACTGCAGAGATTTTTTTAAAGAAGATTTTAAAGCTATGCTAATTGCAGAGATTTTTTTACTGGAGGCTTTGAAGTAGAATAACAGTAAAGATTATTTAGTAGAGGTTTTAAAGTAAATTAACTATTACAATCATTAATCAATATATTTTTGTGGAGTTTCTAATCCTCCCTATTTTCCTGTGTATATTTTATACTCATTTTAATTGCATAATCTACATGTATTACAATTTCCCATTTTCACTTTTGATATTTATAAGAAACTTAATGAAAAAAAATACACATAAAATGGATGAAGAAATTCCATTACTAATAACCAAAAGCACAACATATAGTTCAAAGATTTATAATTCAAACTTCTATTATAAATCCAAGTACAACATAAAATCCATAACATTGTCAAATTAGCCTCATACTAAACTTTAAATCCAAATTACATTATATGCAAACTAAGGGTTGCTAGCACCAGATGATCCTCTTGCATCCAAAGGTGTATTAGGAACACTTGAAGCATCGTTTGACTGAAATAAGAAAAAAAAAACACTTGGTCAACAAAAATATATATCACAAATATTATATGATAACGACAATTCCAAACAGCAATTAAAAAAGCACAAAGCAGTACATCAAGAAAATAGTAACTCAAGTAAAAACAGTAACTGCAAAATACAACTATTGGGGCAACAGTACGAAATGCAACAGCAGTAGAAGAACTGGGCACCCAACTCAGCAGTACAACAAGGGCCCCACAAGCTTTTCCAATTTGCACAGCAGCAAGGCCCACACCTCCAGCAGCACCCAAAACCAGCAACACCTGCAACACAATTCCACAACACAAAGAGAAGAGACAGTACAATAAACAAGAAGAGAATCAAATTCAAAGCACATATACACAGCTAACCTGACGTCAACTGTGCCCTGTGTACAAGCCCCACGTGAGAAGTGCCAAACGCCACAGCAAGTGCCCTAGCAGAAACCAGATCACAACCTTGGGGCACTCGAAACCTTCAAAGGCAACAACTTCATTAAGAATTTTCTAGATAGCATCGTCAAAAGGTAGAGGAAGTAGAAACTCACAAATGGGACTGATCAACGACGATGAACTCGGCGAAGGTAGCTAGGCCGGCGAAGGCGCAAACGGGGTCGCCGACTCAAAAGTCAGAAACTTTTGGGCCAACAGCGTCGACGATGCTGGAAATGTCGGAGCCGGGAATGAATGGCACTCAAACTTCGTTTAGGGTTTCTAATTTCACAAAAGAGAATTATGATGAGATGTGTGTTGCGCGCGGGTTTAAGAGAGAAAAATGTAGGTTTTCTAATTTCATAAAATAGAATTATGATGAGAGGTGTGTTGCGCGGGTTTAAGAGAGAAAAATGAGATTTAAGCGAAAAAAATATTATTTAATTAAAAGAGGTTAAAAATCTCCGTAAATTAATTAAAAAAATTGCAGTATTTTCACCTTATTTAATTATTTAAGGAGGTTTTTAAAACTTCTGCAAAATAACCTCTATTATTTAACATTTTTTTTTGTAGTGGAGGTTATATAATAATATTTTTGAGTATCTATTATTTTTGAAAAAGTGATATTTCTATGAGTAGAGTTTTATTCCCATGGTGAAGGAGTGAGTAAGTGATATTTTCATGAAAGTATGAGAAGTTATTTTCTATAACATAGAGGTGGTAAATGGATGGATTAGATAATTTTTAATTTGAATAATAATAGACTAGATAAAAATAAATTATTAATTTATTTAAACGTATTAGAAAAATTATTTAAAAATCCAATCTATCCTATGTATTTAAGATTAAAAAAATCTTTCAATCCATCTATTAATTAACAATTTTTTAATGAATGGATATGCAATCCATCCATGAAAATATGTTTTAAAAGTTAAATTTTTTTTTTGTAAAAGTTCAAAAAAAGAATTATGTCAAAATTATCTTTTAAAATCAGAATTCAATACTCTTTATTTAATCCAATGAATTTTGAAAAATAATTTATGAATCAATATTCATCTGTAAAATTAAATGATGGATTGGATCCAATCCATCATTATTATATTCATATAATGGATGGATTAGATAGATGATGGATAAATGAATTGTTTTGTCACCCTTATAGAAAAGAAGATGAGGAGGATGATATGAATATGTTAATAGCTAAAATTGAAAAGGCATAATGTATGATGGATTTGGGAGGAGAATCTGAACAAAACATGTATGTTGGTTCTTAGTTGAGTACATTCAACCAAGGATTGATACAAGAAACCTTAAGAAAAAGTGATAACTTATTTGCATGGATAGTTGTAGATGTGCCCAACATTAACCCAAACTATCATTGCCATATGTTGGCTCTTTGTATAAATAGGCTAAACCGGTTGCATAAAGGAAAAGAAAAATGGGTGAAGATAGACAAAAGTCTCTGGAGGTGGAGGTACAAAAGTTGTTGAGTTCTGGTTCATACGAGAAGTGGATTATACCACATGGTTGGTTAATTTGATCATGGTTATAAAATCAAATGAAAAATAGAAGACGTGCATAAATTATACAAATCTCAATAAAGCATGTTTGAAAGACGTTTATTATTTACCGAAGATAGATCGTTTAGTTGATGATGTTGCCTAAGCTGTGCAAAGATTATCTGATTGGGAAACAACATCGAGATTCATTTCCCATGAAAAGTTCTTGGAGAGCTTCACAGATTCTTCAACTTGTTCATGCCGACATTTGCGGACCAAGTTTTAAAGGCTTACAGACTCTGCAACAAAAAGGAATGGTGGAAGGTTTAGCAATGCTTAAGCCGCCCTCTAAGCTGTGCAAAGATTATCTGATTGGGAAACAACATCGAGATTCATTTCCCATGAAAAGTTCTTGGAGAGCTTCACAGATTCTTCAACTTGTTCATGCCGACATTTGCGGACCAATTAAGCCAGTCTCAAATAGCAAGAAAAGGTATTTGCTTACTTTTATTGATGATTTTAGCCGAAAAACTTGGGTTTATTTTTTGGCAGAAAAATCAGAGGCTTTTACTGTTTTCAAAAGCTTCAAGTTACATGTTGAGAACCCTTTTGTGCGGCGTACGCAATTACCAACCGCACAGTCTCCATACGAGCTACCGGAGCAAAAACTTCTGTGTAATCTATACCGTACTGCTGTGCATATCCTTTCACTACCAGTCTTGCTTTAAACTTGTCAACTTCTCCTTTTTCATTGAGTTTAGTCTTGTAAACCCACTTTACTCCAACTACTTTAGCTCCCTTTGGCCGATCAATTAATTCCCAAGTGCCATTTTTCTCAATCGCTTCAATCTCTATATCCATGGCATTTCTCCATTTTTCTATCTTCACAGCTTCTTCAAAATTGAGCGGTTCAGCACCAGCAGTATATAAGGCAAAGAATGCTGAGTAAAAGACAGCCTCTTCATCAAACAACCCTTCACCGGACACATAGTCTCTTAGCCAAGTTGATTGCCTTCTACTCCTCCCTTCCATAAGACCTTCAGAAGTGTCTTGATTAATGGTAAGAGACTCTTCCGGTTGTGCATCAGCAACATCTTCTACAGGAGATTCTTCTGAAACAACTTTGTCATCATCTTCCCATTCTAGCTCGCAAATAGTAGTTGACTCATGGTTGTTCCATTCCCATGCTTCATTTTCTGCAAAAACCACATCTCTGCTTATTATAATCCTTTGTGAGATAGGATCGTAAAGCCTGTATGCCTTTGATTCGTCACTGATTCCGAGTAAAACACACTTCAAGCTTTTCGCATCTAGTTTAGATCTCAAATTATCAGGACAATGAGCATGCTGCCCCTTTTGTTTTGTTTAACAAAAAGAGTATGCTCATATTCACATTTTTTGAAACCTTCCTTAATAAAATATGCTTCAATGCAACTGTACCAAGCACGTGGAGCCTGTTTAAGCCCATAAAGAGCTTTCTTTTATTTGTACACTTTTTCTTCTTTCCCTTTCTGCACATAACCACGAGGTTGCTCAACAAAGACATCTTCAGCTAATTCTCCATGTAAGAAGGCAGACTTCACATCTAGTTGATGTATAGCCCACCCCTTTTGTGCGGCGTACGCAATTACCAACCGCACAGTCTCCATACAAGCTACTGGAGCAAAAACTTCTGTGTAATCTATACCGTACTGCTGTGCATATCCTTTCACTACCAGTCTTGCTTTAAACTTGTCAACTTTTCCTTTTTCATTGAGTTTAGTCTTGTAAACCCACTTTACTCCAACTACTTTAGCTCCCTTTGGCCGATCAATTAATTCCCAAGTGCCATTTTTCTCAATCGCTTCAATCTCTATATCCATGGAAGCCAGTCTCAAATAGCAAGAAAAGGTATTTGCTTACTTTTATTGATGATTTTAGCCGAAAAACTTGGGTTTATTTTTTGGCAGAAAAATCAGAGGCTTTTACTGTTTTCAAAAGCTTCAAGTTACATGTTGAGAAAGCAACAAATATGTCACTCAAAGGGTTGCGCACAGATCTTGGTGGAGAGTTCACATCTCGAGAATTCAATAACTGTAATATAAGTTGTAAAAAAGTTGAGGTGCTTATAAGCAACTCTCATTGGAGCAAAAGTTGTAAAAATATAGTATGAGTTGCTTATGAGTGATGTGGCACAGTGAGACCCATTTAAAGTGGTTGGGAGTTGCTTATAAGCAACTCCCATTGTAGATGCTCTAACTAGGCACCAAATTTTTAGTTTCTTAGATACTTATTGAAGATATAATCAAATAATGATGTATTTATGAGGTGAAGTGAAGACAACATCTATAACCAAATCGATCAACTATTGTTATAAGGTGATACTTTTTTAGTTTAAAAAAGTCAGAGTTACGTATCATAGATTAATGAATAAGATATTTAAAAATCAAATTGATAAAAATATTGATATACATGTAGATTATAGATTACATAGTGATTAAATTAATTAGGAAGTGTTGAAGAGCATGTAAAAGATTTATAAGAAGTGTTTAATGAGATTTGAGATTAAACTCAGAAAAATGTACTTTTGATGACTAAGGGAAGAAATTCTTGGGCTTCATGCTCTTGGGAAATACAAGCAAATCCCGATAAGTGTTGAATAATAATGAAAATGAGAATTTCGAAAATTCTTAAGTATAAGTATAACAATTAGTGAAAAGATATACATTTCTATCACGATTCATTCCACGGTTGGTTGAGAGAGTCAAATCAATAATAAAGTTGCTTTAAAAAAAAGGACTTTCAATGATCTAAAGGTGTGATGTAACTTTTTAAGCATTAAAACAAACTTTAGCCTCACCACCAATTTTGAGTAACCCAAACCCAACTAAGGAATTCATTGTATACTTGTCGTCATCAGATGAGGCAATCAGTGCAGCTGTCATACGAGAAGAGGATGGGAATCAATTGCCTATTTGTTTTGTTAGCCGAACATTGCATGATGTCGAGACCAATTTGATTGCATGTTAAACTATCCACCGTATAATTTAATACCAATTTGCATGTTTGATAATGTTTGTTTTCTCGTGATGGACTATGAACATTATCCACTACAAGCAATTTTTTACAGTGAGATAGATGAAAATGAAACAATTAAGGATAGAGAATTTTCCAAGTGCACAGTTAAACTCTGCTAAGAATTACATTCAAAGCTTGGTTTGGCCTATATAGAGAAGATACTAGTTGTTCTTAGTACTACATAGTTTATGTTATGGATGGATGCGATGGATTTATATTTCTTAAATAGACCTTGTTTTTATATTCTTAAATTCTGAAATTTGTTGCTGGCAGTTGCTATATCATGTTTATATTTGTCACATGCAATTGATATATATAATGTATTCCTTTATTTTCAAAATTTTGACCACGTTATACTATATGTACCTTTGGCTCGTAATTTTGTATAATGTTACATTTGTTTTCTTTATTTCTTTTTTTCTTCCTCTAAAACTAATAGAAGTTACTATACACTAGTGGATTCTTTTTTAAAATTGATTATATTTTTACCTTTTATTTACACCATTATTTTTACTTGTTTTGGCTGGTTTAAAAAAAATGATTTTGTAAGTCTTAACTTTTAAAATTGTTTATCAGATAATCAATTTTAAAAGTCTATATTTTTTAAATTGAATTTGAAACAACCTATTTCAAAAGTTAGACTTTAAAAATTAATTGTGTCGTAAGTAATTTTAAAGTTAGCTTTTTAAAATTTATTGTATAATCAATTTTAAAAACTGAACTTTTAAAATGGATTTTAAAAGTAACAACTATTTAATAGTATATTTGTTTTGGGAGCACTACAAAACAAAACGAATAAATCAAACAATACCAAATATTTATATACAAATTTCATCAATTAATGAGTTTTCAATATATTAAAATGTCACATTTTAAAATCAGTTTAAAGTTAATTGATTTTTAAATAACTTTTAAAATCAGTTAATTTTAATCAATTGTTAAAATGATTATTATTTAAAGTAAATTACATTCCTCTCTCTTGAGAGATACAAATATCACATTACATACCTTCTATTCTTATGTTAAAAATTACGATCCTTCCTCAAGACAGATTCAAATATATAACACTTTACGTTTCTTTTTATATAAAAAAAATTCTTTTAAAGTTCTGTTAACGTTTGTTAAAAAAAATTTATTACCAAAGTACTCTTTACATGGACATTCTTCAAAAATGTAAATATTACACCATTCTTCCTTCTTATAAACATTTTCCTTTTTAAAAAAGTAAACATGCTACACTTTAACAATATATCTCTTAATTTACATATTTAATTATTATTTTAAAAATTTATTATAAATTTTGCTAAAATTAACTATATATATCTTAAAAAATATTTTTTCATCATTATCTTTACAAAATATTTTTAAAGATATATGTCAAAATAAATAAATAAATAAA